GTCTCCCACATACCCTCCTTGCCATTTTTCTCCTCGTCTTCTCACGTTCCTGGTCTCCCGTCTCATCCTCCTTCCCGTCTCGCCTGCCAACATTGCGCTGGTCCGATTCTTCATCTCTCCCATCTACTCGCGGTCACGRCTTCCCTTCACTTCCCAAAGATAGGATCCCCCTCTTCCGGACTCTGCACGCCCCGTCTCCTTCTGAGGCGCTGCGTCCGTCAAACCCTCTACTCCTCTCAACCTTCGTGATCCTGCACGTCCTCTCCCACCATCTCCGACATCCCAAAATTACCCCGGCTCCGCGCGAGCGCGACTCCTCACCTCGAGTATCCGAAGTCTAGGCTGAAACGAACACTGCCGACGCTGCATCTCTCCAAACGTACCAAAAAAAATCCTCAGGGGTACCGAACCGGTCCTTTGTATGTACTATCTGCACAAAAATTCAAAGACGGCTCCGAAACAAATTAGAAATTAAATACTGCGGCAACTAACAAACAAAAAACTAGAATACAGTAGACTGCCTCCTACTTTTTTTCTTACCCTTCCCTTCGACCCACAAATTCCCTGAGTCGGGGGTACTCAGTAGAGAGATAAACCCTCCACTGACCACCCGACATCCTGGCGAACCTCGCCAAGGCGCTGAGAGACACCTCTGGGGGATACCCCCGGAGGCGTGTTTCCATCATTAAAGCTGCGATCGCGGCTTTCCTCGTGAACGAGGCATAGTCTTGTAACGATTGAACCTTCAGTTTCCCTTCCTCGCGTAGGTACAGCTGGTTCCTGGTCATGGGGTGTATTTCAATGCTAATAGGTGCCATCATGACAAATACACGTGCCCCCAGGAAATCAAAAACGTTCCCATTTCCATCTTTCCGGACCATCACCAGATTCTCATCATAGCATCCTTCAAACTCGTCCAGTATCGCTGCTGCTTCCTCCCATACCCGGCTGGTTAGTCTTGAAGCCAACCATTACTGCCACGTCATCAATCATCCTCATCCCCCTTGCTACTACCTTGGATCTGCTCACTTGGCTCATAAAACTTGCTTCGGACTTAGCACATACCAAGCATGCTAACGCTGGGCTGGAATTCCTCCCCATGGGAATCCCAAAGATCTGTCTTAGCATCGTTCCTGCACACTGGATATAGGAATGCGCCAACTCGAACTTCACTTCCTTCGCAATGTCATCATACGACAAGTTTACGAACCCGTCAACTTTCCTCAGATTCTTCGTCATTGCGCACATCTTTCCTCTCTGACTCACTCTCACCCCCCTCATTCCATTCCTCTCATGACATCCTACCAGCCATTCCACCGCCTCCATAACCTTCGGATGTGACAGCTTAGCGAACATGTCCTTGATGTCGCAACTCCTCGCGAGCACCCCATCCCCTCCTTCCCTCAACTCCCTTTGAAACGTCTCGCATCTCCACCTCAGCTCATCAGTCGATCTCAGGTCGAAATGTTCGGATCTTCAAACGGCAAACAGCATGTACCTAACTGCCCTCCCTACCCTCACTCCTGCCAACCTAGTTGGGTCATAAACACAGGGGGAAATCGGACGCCATCGGTCAAGATCCTTGTCCTTGGGGAGGACATAGGCGCGACCGATCTTCCCTCCCGTCTGCCACATGGCTATCGTCTTCAACTCCATACGTTCGTACTCCCTCTTCATCTTCCTCAGCACCCAATCTTCTGTCTCATCACAGATCAGAAAACTCTGATTCCAACTGAAGGTCTCCTTACATGCACGAAGGTAAAGAACAGAACAAATTAACAGCGTGGCACCGGGATTTCTGTCAATCGGAACCGCCACCAAATTCCTGTACTTCTGAAAGCATAATCTGACCTCACTCACGCTCATGGCTCCTCTACTCCCATCACGTACCATTCGGTAGCACCGATCGACTGCCTCGCGAGGGCAATGGATCATGTTCCCTCTTACCCATCCTTCAACTCCTTCTTCAATGTACCCCACCAAAGCCTCAGGTGATATGCTGCACCCGTACGTCACATTCTTCGAATTCCACAGGAATATTGGTAAGTCATCAATGTCGCATAATCTTACCTTTACGTGGCCGTTGGTTCTGGGTAGATCAAAGTGATCACATGTACACACGACCTCACTCTCCTCTGCAACGTTCCAATGGTTATGGATGATCATGCCGACAGTCATCCTCTTCTTCACCACTACCCTCACCCTTCCTGCAATGAACCGCGCAATATCCTGATCCCCCATGGCACTTTGTACGAACTCGGCTGCCACCTGCTTCACTGCGCCTAGGTTTATGTTCGGAGAGAAAGGTACCTTCACACATGGTTTCCTTCGGATTTCCTGTCCATACTTCCCCCTCACGATTCGGGTCAAGATATTCTTCAGGTGATTCCTACTACTCTTCTCGGAGAATAGCCCAGCGGTCCGGTATAGTGCGATTAACTCTCGGGAGCTCTTGCCATACATCGTGCGTATTCTCCAAGGCTGCGCCATAACATCCCTCAGGATGTACTTCCGATGTTCGATACCGGATGGTAGAACTTTCACCTTCACCACCTGAAATCTCCCTCCACCCTCCATAATCTGCTTACACTCCTTAACGGGCTTCCTTAACCCCCCTACCATTATCGTGCTCTCCCCCACTTTTTCCCGCACCACCTTCCACTTATCACCCCATATCGTCCCCCTTGACACCCTGATATAATGTACCCCGCGCTTCCCTTGCAATTCCTTCATCAGATCAACGAGTGAGACCCGGTCGTCGAACTTAATCATCACCCCTCCCCATACATGTGACCCCCTCTTCCCCCTCTCCCTCTTCCCTCTCCTCCTCCTTACCTTCTTCACTTCTCTTCCCATCCCCTGCGTATTCAGGACTGCTGAAAACCTCCGGATAACGCTTTCTCGAGAAAATTCAGGTCCTGGATCCCACTCACCAAAGGAATGAGCAGATACTTCTCCCACCCAAAAATATGAAGCCACGCATGCAATTTTGGAGCATTCCCCATAACGCCATTCATTACCAACTTAACGTGATCGGACCACCTCTTGATCACGGTCCGCGTGGTACATCCAATGTAGAAATGTCGGCACCATGGACTCACTAATGCATACACACCTAGCTCCCGCGTAGAAAGCTCCCCTTCTTCCCCACTAACCAGACCCACCCACTTCCTCGCCCACCGACATTCTCCCCTGATAACACACAACAGAAACATCCTAAATATCTGATCCTCCTGGTCAGCATTCAAACCCTCCCGGCGATCATTCACTCTCCCACCCCGGGTAAGCATAATCCTCTTCACCTCCTTCATACTTACCTCCTTTACTTCTCAAACAACGGAGCAATCCGTCCGCTCTCGTTGAACTCCTCGTAGGCCAGCCTCGCCCTACATTTCACAAGCTCCCCGATGGCTACATCCTTACGTGACCACTCGATCCCCTCCTCGTTACATAGCTTCCGCAACTCGGGCACCTTCTTCGCCGATAGATGCTTATGCATTTCAATCGTTAACTCCAGCATCCCCGGGTCTGCCACGCCCCCCTCTGGTTCCTTCTTCGCAGGCGGAGGTGTCTGAATTTCTTCGTCATCATCGACTCTCACCGGGTCGCCCCTGTTTCCGCGCCTCGGGATTCTCGAAACCCTCCCTTCCTCCCCGATCATCCTGGCCTTCCCCTTCCTCCTTTCGATGGCCTCAACCAGCTTTACCGCTTCCTCTTTAACCTCCTCGCTGTCGTCCTCCGACTCATCCAGATAATTGCGCATCTCCCTAATGACTCGAGCTTTCGTTCTCGGTGACTTCTTCTTAACCCCGGAGCTTTCCGCCTTGGCATTCGACCGATTATGCTGTGCAAGCATACGAATTAGCTTGGCCTCCAATCGGGCCTCTTTCATATCAGCCTCCCTCATTCTTCCCTGCTCCCTCCTGTTCTCCTCTTCTCTCCGCCGTCTATCCTCTTTTTCCTTCTCCTTCCTCACCTCCTCAAGTTTTCTCTTTCTAATCTTTTCTCGGAAATATTCTCGCATTTCCTTTGCTTCGTCATGAACTACCGTCACCGGTACGTTAGACTGTTGCTGGGCTGGAGGTCTTCCATTCCCCCCCGCCCAACAATTTCGTGCGTAGTGGCCAGCCTTTCCACATAGGTAACAAGAAACGACCCACCGACTGGTTAACTCCACCACCCCCTCCTCCGTATCCTTGGATCTGCGGGAC